GGCTTTGCAGGAAGGCCTAAAGGCAGTGGGTGGATCTGAGGAGTGGCTGGCTTGCGCTCTTGATGGATCCTAGTCAATCCCCAACAGAAGGCTTGGCAAATAATGTTTTTAAGGGGCTGGGGCATTCTAAAACGTGTTGGAGCCTACTCAACTAATAGAAAGTTGGGATAGAAGAGAGTGAGGAAGATGTGAGGCTGAAGGCAGTAGGCTTTGAGGAGGCCCATTGGGATAGGGCTTACCTGCAGGCCTGGAGCTGGAAAGAAGGAAAGCTCAGAGTTTTGCTGGCCCCCAGAGCAAGGACTACCTGTACTGCAGGGAAGGAGCGGACCAGTTAAAAGGCCTAGTAGCAGCCACCAACCCATCAGCGGTACAGGAGAGGATCTGAGTGAGTAGACCTGCATCCCCTGGACAGATAGGGGAAGGAGCACTCTGATGGGAAACCAACTGTCTATTTGGGATTGTCTATGTTTACAGTAACAGACACCAGATCCCCTGTTCAGGGATACCTCCAGATTGCTGGGTGAAGAGAAGTTTATCTAGGGTCTGGGGTGGTACATTAAAGAGAGGCTGGATAGCTCTCCAACAGAGACTGTGCTGCAGTGAAGGCTTATAAATAGTTCCAGGATGTTGTCCTTGTCACGATCGCAGCGTCAGACCCCAGACCTTCTCACCAAACTCGTGACCAAAGGACTAGCCGAACTAAAACCGCGATGTCATGTGCGTAACAATGCCACACCCCCCAGCTGCACCCTGCACAACGATTTTCCAGCTAATTGGACCACAATCGTTGTACCGGCAGCCTGAGCATTTGTTACTGGGTCAGGTTAATTACGCAATTAACCCTTCACACTGCCACCACCTGACTCCTTTTTGTACAGAGAAAGAGGAAACTCGGCGATATCAGCTATAACACTATAATGGTTGAGATAATCGTCTGTATAAAACGGTCACCGGGTTGTCTCTGAAGTCAAGGACCAATACCCCGTTTAGGGCGTGGAGGTATGGGTGGATACCTCAACTAGAGCCAAAATCTCCCTTAACTCATATTTTGGCCCATAACTTTCCATCTGCACAAGTGACATTCCACCCGCGGGTAGATTATTATGCAGACACGTCTGAGGATTGATTAGATATGAATTATGAAATTATACACTGTTCGGTTCACGAGATCTACTTTTCTGTTTTCCTATGTATCGAGACAATGCAAGTGACCTACCAAAACTGTTTGCCTTCTCGTGGCCAGTCTGACGATATGTCCGTTTTTTATGTAAGTCTCTCATATTCCAAGATATGAGACATGGGGGAAAAATGGATTTTAATAAAGGTTATCTGGTTGTGTTTCCTGGGAATGTTCTTTGAACTCAGGGGAAAGCTTGCCTTATCTTATATGAGGTGTTAAATTGCACAGGTTCTTTGGACAGCTAGGCCCTGGCTCAGAGAGGTGTTTTATAGCTCTGGGCTCCCTGCTGGCTCTAGCCTGCCAGTGACCCACAACCAGATGTCCTTGTGAATTAACAGAGAGGGAAGGGGTGGGAATGAGGGGGAAATATGTTTGTCAGGATGGTTAACCCCTTTGCCAAGATGGAGGCTTTGAAGCCAAAATGTTGAACCGCATCCATCTCTGGGTATACGCTGTTACAGTCCTCAGTTCATCTGTTTCCTTGGGCATCCTGTACACCCCTAATCCTATCCCAGGTTCAACCAAAGTTCAAGGACTGATCTCAGACTCTGGATGCAAGCCTGTGTGAAGATGTGTGATGTCTGGCTTTGCAGGACTTTAGGGGGACCCTAATCTTCTAGCGACTCCTAAGGAGGTAGTGCTACATAATGAAGGGAGGAGCCAATCTAGGTCTCGGTTGATCATCAGGGAGGAGAGAAGAATGCGTCTGTAAGGAGGGGAGCTCCCCCAGGAGCCTGGGGTAAGGATTGGGGGACAAGTAGGGCCTGAATTTTAAGTAAGCACCACAGTAACCCTCCTGCAGATAGTGGGCCATTGTACCAGAAGCCCCAGGATATGGAAAGGTGTTCTATTGCACTTTTAATACTGATTGTGGATCCTTGTGTATGTTAATTACTTATGTTAAGAACTGCCATATTGTGGATTGTTGTACCTTGTTAACCTTTCCAAGTATTTAGGTAAAGCTTCAAGCAAAGAAAATCCTTGCTTCATGATTGTCTTAGCAAGGGCAAACCATATGTAAGGGTAGGGTGGTGGTCGTTGTCATGTCCTCCATGTTTCCCTCTTTGTTGGATGCCAAGCAAGGATCACATGAGAGGCCTACTCCGGGGTGGGTTCTTCTGAGCTATGCTAGGCACCTTGTACAGGGTCTCTCTCTCTCTCTATTCCACACATATGGGGTACCTTTGCTTTAGTGCTGTTTTCAGGAACGCCCTGGGAAAAGGCTGAGGTTGCCCTCAGGAAATACCTGACCTTAAGACAAGCCTTTACTTTTATAGAGATGAACGTACACCATGTACACTTGCACAACAACTGTTTTCAAGTTAACTCTCGGGTCCCCATGTAAATGTACATCTTCCCACTGTAGCTTGCAATTAGGCAGGTCATGCTGAACACTGACCACAGCCACCTGTCCAGTGTTTTCCCACTACCAGTCCCCAGTAGCAGCATGGAACCCCACCTTGCACATAGCGTAGGCTCCAACAGGACTTTAACTCTAGAACTTCTGAACCTCTGTACAGGATGGGGACCTCTGCAGTTCCATTCTGTTCTGGTTGCTGTGGGAGATGGAATGCAGTGTAGGGAGAGCCAACAACATCTCCCTTGTGCTAGAGGCAATTCCACCCATAACAGGTACACATTTACAACAGGCTGCTTGCTGACTGTACCTTCGTTTGCTGATGGTGACCACATGTATACCTTGCACTAGAATGACTCTTAGCGTGCTGACTCTTCATACATGTGCTAGTGACCTAAACTCTAGACTAAGTGCAAAGTTGTGCCGGTTACTTGCATTACACCCCTTTGAGAAACTTCAGACCAGCCAAAAGGCAAATTTTCAATGCTTTACTGAATAAAGTGGAGAAAGTACAAAGTCCAAAATGACTCAGTCCCTAATTCCTAATCCTACTCAGGCTATGTGCTGTCCCGGCATACCTGTAAAGGTGGAGTCCATGTAATTACTAAGTCCATCATAGGCTTCTCCAGCAGCTGGTGTCTTCAGGGTGAACCCCAAGTTCTATCGAACTCACATCTTGGTGGCATCCTTGTACTCCTCCTGGGTGCTGCTCCCTGGTCCCTTCCCTTACGGGGTTCTTTCTTATGGGTTCTGGGCTCTCAGTTCTCCTCAGGGAAAATCATCATCATCATCTGCATGATCTCTTCTTCGGACCACTGGCACTCTTTTATATCACAGGCTCAGTGGGTCGGGCTTAGAGATATCACTCAAAAACTAAAAGAACTGGGAAAGGCATTAACCCCTAATCTTCCCGTCCGGGACAGCACCTGTCTAACTGATTTCAACCTGCTTACATGTATTTAATGAATGTTGTGAGCAGGGGGCGGACTGACCATTTGGAAACTCGGGCACTGCCCGAGGGCCCGGGGTCAGTAGGGGGCCCCATGAGATGCCCATGGTACCTTTTTCGTAGGCTTTTTTGAGTTTGGGCAAGGACACAGGGGCCCCATGATCCCCTATTGCCCGGGGCCCCATGAGTTGTCAGTCCGCCCCTGGTTGCGAGTTAACCTAAAGTTTGAAGGATCATTAAAGGGTATGAGACTGTGAACGCCTGGTTGGCTCAGGAGTGGGTGGTGGTTAGGGGGACAGGAATCATCCTCTTGGAGAGAAGACCCCCCCTCAGGTATCATGCGCCAGGTGACCAGGGCCCCCATATAACAGGCATTCCGGGTGTTTGGATGGATTCCCTGAGCTCTAGCCTTGGCCACTAATTCTATTATTAATTCTCTTTCTTGTTTTGTAGTGTTTTTTCATGTTCTGCAAATAAATGCATTTTTTAATGAATGTTACAGAGTAATACATACTATTTTATACTGGTAAATATATATCTCATCATTACAGTTATATCTCTGTTATATGACAAATAATTTTTAATGTCGAATTCATATTTTCTTATACTATCTTAATTCTTGAATCGTGGTACTTCTATAGATTCCAATTAATGTCATTGGCAGGATAGTGGCTTAGTGAACAATATAAAATGGTGTTGCGCTCCCTAAATCGTATCTAAATACAACCCATAAAATATATACATTAAACCAATAATCTTATGCACATAGACATAAATAATAACATGCGATTCTTAGATCAATTAACATACGTGTGCAGACAAAAAACATCACATGATGACATAAATAAGTGAAAACTAAACATGCGTCCCCAAAAACAGGGAAAAACGTGACTTGGGTCACGAGTGAAGTGATAGATGAATGGCCCTATTTATTCCATTATTAATGGTCAGATATAGGTGCCAATGTGTATATCTCTGGTAGTCTAGTGGTATAAATGTAATGAGGCTTATAAATTAGGAATATATTATTATAATTATCCACAGATCGTTTTTGTCCAGAATTGGGGTTTTAGCTCTTTAACCGCTAGCCTACAGGGCACTTCTACCCCCTTCCTGTCTACAGGACACTTCTACCCCCTTCCTGCCTACAGGGCACTTCTACCCCCTTCTGTCTACAGGACACCTACCCCCTTCCTGCCTACCGGGCACTTCCACCCCCTTCCTGTCCAGGCCAATTTCCAGCTTTCAGTGCTGTCACACTTTGAATGACAATTGCGCGGTCATGCAACACTGTACCCATATGACATTTTTATCATTTTTTTGAGACAGATAGAGCTTTATTTTGGTGGTATTTAATCACCTCGGGGTTTTTTTCTTTTTTCTTAAACAAACCAAAAACCACTGAAAATTTGGAAAAAAAAAGTTTTTTCTTAGTTTTTGTTAACTAATGTGCGCTTATGAGGCTGCACTGATGGGCACTGATAGGCTGCACTGATGGACACTGATAGGTGGCACTGATAGGCATCACTGCTGGGCACTGAATGGCAGCACTGATACATGGCACTGATATATGGCACTGATAGGTGGCACTGATTGGCATTGATAGGTGGCACTGACTGGCACTGATGGGTGACACTGAAAGGTAACTCAGATGGGCACTGATATGTGGCATTGATGGGCACTGGGACGAGGCACTGACAGGTGGCACTGCTGGGGCCACACTGATCATCAGTGCTCTGATGATCAGTGTAGATGTCCCCTCCGCGGAAAGCCGATTACCAGCTCTCCTCTCCTCTGTCAGCGTGACAGCTCGAGCGGAGAGAAATGCCGATAACTGGCATTTCCTGGTTTACATGTGATCAGTTGTGATTGGACACAGCTGATCACATGACCGAGCCGACATCTTCGGCCCTTTCTGTGATCGGTGATCCGCTGTGTCCGAGGGACACAGCGTACTGCCGATCGCGCGCTGCGTGCTCCCTGAGCGCGCGCATGCGCAGTGAGAATGGGAGGATGTCATATGACATCCTCCCAGAACGAGAGAACCACCTTGCACCCGTCATATTACTATATGGTGGGCGGGAGGTGGTTAAACATGGCCACAGGTCTTCAATAAAATGGCCACGGGTGTTCCCTATAATTAGATCTAGGTGTTAACCTCTTAGAGTTTAAGGAGCAGACTGTGTATAAAAGGAAGGGCTTGTCACCACGCCTATTGTTCCTGAAGAAGTCACGTGAGATGTGACGCAATGCGTTGGACACGTGGTGACGTCACTGCCTGCGGAGGCTCCATCTTTGTACACCCAGAGAGTACACCCAGCAATATACATGAGCTTGATTTTGAACATGCAAATGTGAGTGAGCTACTTGCTGGTTTACTTTTTTGGTATTAAACATCCAGCATTACACAATGGGAGTTTGCTTCTTGTTTTCAATCCATATGTGAGTTGGCTGAGTTTAAGATAAGCTTGGATATCTGGATGGGTCATTCTCAGCGCTGCATGTAAAGGAGGATACCACCATTACTGCTTAACCTGAATCATTGATGTGGATGGGTCGTATTAATATACCTGGCAATTTCAAGGCTCATTGGCCCTTTTGGGGTCGCTGTAGTAAGGTGAGGGGGCAATCCAGCCGTTGGAGGATCCAGATTTTTTCACTCACATCACCAATATATGTGCTTCACTCGTTTGAAGAGTGCACAAGGGGACTTTTTCGCCATTATATATGAATGATTTAGTGGCACAATTTTCAGCAATATTTCTTTGAAAAGTTTTTCTTTCACAATCTCTTATGATGTTGTAACTCTGTATTCTATGTGTTTGTGTTATTATTATTATACAGTATTTATAAAGCACCGATAGTGCGCTCAGCGCTGTACATTACAAAGGGGGACAGAACATGTGACAGAACAATACCAATACAATGCAAAACATGAGGGGATCGAGGGCCCTGCTCCTTGGAGCTTACAATCTAGGAGGGAGGGGATGGTGGTACAGGAAGGGATAGCTGTGGGGGATGGAGTGGTAGGAAGAGTGGAGGAGGTCAGCAAGTTAGCAGGGGGTGGGGTAGGCTTCCCTGAAGAGATGGGTTTTCAGGGTGCGCCTAAAGGAGAGGAGAGTAGGTGATAGTCTGATGGGTTGGGGCAGGGAGTTCCAGAGGATGGGTGACACCCTGGAGAAGTCCTGGAGGCGGGCATGGGAGGAGGAGACCAGGGAACTAGAGAGAAGGAGGTCTTGTGAGGAGCGGAGTGTGCGTGTTGGGTGGTACTTGGATATTAGGTCAGTGATGTAGTTCGGGGCAGTATGGTGGACGGCTTTGTACGTCAGTGTTAGGATTTTGAATTTGATCCGTTGCGCAATCGGAAGCCAGTGGAGGGATTGGCAGAGGGAGGGGGGTGGCGGAGATGGAGCGGTTGGAAAGGTGAATGAGTCTGGCAGCCGTATTCAGGATGGACTGAAGCGGGGATAGCCAGCGGCGAGGCAGGCCAGTGAGGAGGGAGTTGCAGTAGTCGAGTCGTGATATGATGAGGGAGTGGATGAGCTGTTTAGTGGTTTCTGGGGTTAGGAACGTGCGGATTTTGGCGATGTTGCGGAGGTGGAGTCTGCATGTTGCGGAGGTGGAGTCTGCATGTTGCGGAGGCGGGGTCTGCATGTTGCGGAGGTGGAGTCTGCACGAGTTTGTTAAAGTTTGGACTTGGGGCTGGAAGGATAGGTTGGAGTCCAGAATGACACCAAGTACTCTGGCCTGCGGGGCGGATTTGATGGTGGCGTTGTTGGATGTGATGGAGAAGTCAATGGGGGGTGGTGTCCGGGCTGGGGGGGGAAGACAAGAAACTCAGTTTTGGAGAGGTTCAGTTTAAGGAAGTGGAGGGACATCCAGTCTGATATGTCGCTCAGTAGGTGTGTGATTCGGGTGTTCACACTTATTTATCCCAATTAGGGATTGCATGGCACCTGGCAGACAATTGGTTGTCATTCATCACTTTGATGGGTTAGGAGGTCATGTGGTTTTAAAAGGTTTTTTGTTATCAGGTTTTATCCTGACCTTATCACTTTAGTGCATTCACATTTGTTGTGAATTATTTTTTACACGGCACTTTTTATTGAGGCACAATTTATGCCATTCATCTATCACTTCCCTCGTGACCCAAGTCACGTTTTTTTTTTCCGTGTTTTTGAGGACGCATGTTTAGTTTTCACTTTGTTATCATGTGATGTTTTTTGTCTACACATGTATGTTTATTGATCTCACCATGTGATGTTTGTCTACACATGTATGTTTATTGATCTCACCATGTGATGTTTGTCTACACATGTATGTTTATTGATCTCACCATGTGATGTTTTTGTCTACACATGTATGTTTTTATTGATCTCACCATGTGATGTTTGTCTACACATGTATGTTTATTAATCTCACCATGTGATGTTTGTCTACACACGTATGTTTATTAATCTCACCATGTGATGTTTGTCTACACACGTATGTTTATTGATCTCACCATGTGATGTTTGTCTACACACGTATGTTTATTAATCTCACCATGTGATGTTTGTCTACACACGTATGTTTATTAATCTCACCATGTGATGTTTGTCTACACACGTATGTTTATTAATCTCACCATGTGATGTTTGTCTACACACGTATGTTTATTGATCTCACCATGTGATGTTTGTCTACACGTATGTATGTTTATTGATGTTTGTCTACACATGTGATGTTTATTGATCTCACATGTGATGTTTGTCTACATGTATGTTTATTGATCTAGGTGTCACATGTTATTTATATCTATATGCATAAGATTATTGGTTTATTGTATATATTTATGGGTTGTATTTAGTGTATTTAGATACGATTTAGGGAGCGCAACACCATTTTTTATTGTTCTTTAGTACATTCAGGTTTTAGTCGGGTGATAGCAGCTCCCTACATATATGTTTAGTGTATAGTTTGTGTATTTTGAGTAGCGCAGGTGGTTTACCTATTATAGTGGCTTAGTGGTTAGCGCTCCTACCTAACAACTCTAGGGTCTTTGGTTCAAATCCCACCCATGCTACCACGTGCCAGGAGTTCACACGTTCTCCCTGTGTGGGTTTCCTCCAACACTCCAAAGACATTCTAATAGGTTCATTGGCACTAGTATGAATGCAAGTTCCTTCAGGGTAGGGATGAGCTCATAGGTGTGTATAATTACTTCTCCTAAGCAAAACCTGCAATGGACATCCTGCAAGTCTGTTGCTGGTCCCCAAAAAAAAAAAAAAAAAAAAAAAAGCCATGCGTGTCCCTCCACTGTGCTCTGCAGAAGTGAGCATGTTTGATGAAACGCGTAGGGAAGAGCCTGTGACGTCATTACGTTCCCGAGCCGCCTGCGCATTTGAGGCCGGGTTTGTTTTTTTTGTCTAGAGTGCACGCTGTCATTGCTGGTGTCGGCTAGGACACCTCTATTTGTAAGTGCATTACTTAATTTAAAAAAAAAAAGTCCTTTAACCACTCACCTACCGGGCACTTATACCCCCTTATTTACCAGGCCAATTTTCAGCGCTGCTGCAATTTGATTGACAATTGCGCGGTCATGCAACATTGTACCCATATGAAATTTTTATCATTTTTTTTTCTCACAAATAGAGCTTTCTTTTGGTGGTATTTAATCGCCACTGGGCACTTTACTTTTTGCGCTAAAAATAAAAAAAGTGTAAAAAATTTGAAAAAAAAAGTTTGTTTCTATTATAAAATTTTTCAAACAGGTAATTTTTCTCCTTCACTGATGTGCGTTGATGAGGCAGCACTGATGGGCACTGATAGGCAGTACTAATGAGGTGACACAGATAGGCGGCACTGATAGACAGCACTAATGAGGTGTCACGGATAGGCGGCACTAATATGCAGCACTGATAGGTGACACTGATGATGGGTACTGATAGACGGCACTGACTGGCATCACTGCTGGGCACTGACTGGCGGCACTGCTGGGCTGCACTGGTGGGCACAGGTAGGTGGCACTTCTGGGCACAGGTGGGTGACACTGCAGAGTGGCACAGGTGGGTGATCTGCTGGGCACAGGTGGGCGGAGCTAGTGGGCGCACTGCTGGGCACAGGTGGGCGGAACTTGCGGGTGGCACTGCTGGGCACCGATCATCAGGGCACTGATCAGTGCCCTGATGATCGGTGCCGATCCCCGCTCTGACAACTGCCGGTTCTCGGCAGTACTTTCCTCACGATCTGACAGCGTGAGGAAAGTGCAGCCGAGAACTGGCACTTGCATTTCCCTGTGATCAGCGTGTCATTGGACACCGCTGATCACGTGGTAAAAGGCCGCTGTGATTGGCCTTTTACCACATCACGTGATCAGCTGTGTCCGTAGGACACAACAATCACAGAGATCGCCGGGTGCGCGCCCCCTGGGGCGCGCAGGAGAGTGTATTCTGGGAGGACGTCATATGACGTCCACCCAGAACTGGCCGGCCGCAGTGCAGCCGTCATTCGGCTATCTGCGGTCGGCAACTAGTTAAATACTGCACCACGAGTTCTCCATGTTCTTCTACCCCTTTTGGTTTGGATATCTGAGGAACAGGTCTTTGAGAAGTGGATCTATCTTGCTGAGTGTTCCCTGCATTGCTCCTTGAATGTCAGAGTATTACATCCGCACAACATCGCTCCCAGAGCAGAAAGTGTTTTATGCCGGTTTATAGTTTAATCAGCATATCGCTCTGGTGAGTTCTTTCATTTTATTTGGTGGTGGATTTACACATGGTGATTGTTGGCTACGAATACGTTTCATTTCAACACGGATTTGGGACTTTATAATTAGAGATGAGCGAAGAAATGAAAAATTCGATTCGGCTGATTCGGCGAATTCCAGTATGAAATTCGATTCGATGCGAATTTCTCCGCTACGAAGATGACTTATAAAAAGGGTTTCTAGGCTTCAGAGAGCCTTTAAATTAGTGCAGAACACTGTACCTTTAATTTAAATGCCCTTGGAGATGAGGAAGGAGAAGGATGAGAAGAAGGAGAAGGA